AAAAAAAAAAAAAACCACAAACAGATCCAGGTCACTTTCTAAAATGACTGTGCTCTTTTACATTCACACCAGCAGTGGAACAGGCTTCTCTTTCTCCACATCCTCTCCGTGCCGTTCTCATGGGTACGAGAGGATACCTCATAGAGGTTCCTTAGCCAGGCACTGTCACTCTCCACCTTCCCAGCTCATTTGCTACCTGGCGGCCAAAGGGCACCTCTGATGTCATTGTGTCACTTAAGTGCTTTAAAACTTGTCTATACAGAGCTCAACCCCCCTTGGGTGATGTAACAGTGATCTTGGAAAGTGATCTTGAACCTAGTAACTCGCAGTCTCAAGCTCATTCTTTCTCTGCCCCCACCCCCACAACCACACACACCCAAATTCTGTTGATACAAAACCTGGCCTCTCCCCAAACAGCTCATTTTGGTCTCCAGTTGCCACGTCCTCAGCTTGTCTCCTGTTCACAGGCAATTCTGGTGTCATCACATCTGGAATGTTCCTTGACTCCAGGCTCCTCCTTCTCACTGCTTGCCTGTACATTGCTTTTTAATGCAGACTTTCCAAAAAAAATTTTTTAACTTGTTTTTTTATTTCATAATCCACACATTCTCATAGTTAAAAACCCCAATATTAAATATAATGCTTTCTCCGTGATCACAACTATTTCTCCCAATTCCAGTCTCCTCCTTGGAGATGAGAATCTTGCCAGACATATTTCAGTGAGTTTACTTACATGCATGATCTTGCAGAAAATAGTCTCTCCCCACTCCCCCCCCACAAATAATGTCATGCCTTATGTAAAGTGCCACAGAGTTTTGACTTTATTTATTATCTAGTTCTACTCTTTTATGTATATTTTCTTGGCAATGACACTCTGCCCCAACCCCAATCAATAAAACTTCTTTTGTTAATTCTGTTATTTAAATAACAAACTCTACACGGCAGTCATGTTATAACTCAAAGCTCATGCTGTTCTCATCGCAACTCTGAGTTTGGCATTGACTATGTACCTACTGTATCGATGAGGAAATTGAGGCACAGAGAGATAAAATAATTGATTCAGAGGCATATCCTTAGTAAGTGCTGGAGACAAGATTTGGACATTAGAAGTGTGGTCCAGAGCCTACTTACCACCCCCCCCAACACATACACACACACACACACACACACACACACACACACACACACACACTACACTATATTACTGCATCCCTCATCTCTCCTCTGTTCTTCAGGTAGATGTCAGTGTTCGTGCCTGTGAATTAAGGGGACCCTCAGGCCAGGGCACTTCAGGAGACAGCAATCAGTTTAAATCTCTGAAATTTCTTGTCCATCCGGCCCTCCCCCTCAACTCCCGCCCCATCTGCCAGTGAAACCATTCTTACTGGAAAGATAACACTTCAACCTTTTGATTACACATGACTCAGAATGAGCAACCTCCCGTTTCTCTCCCTGCTCATGGTGACATCACCTTATCTGAGAGAACCATACATTTTAAAAGTTACGATGATGGTGGTGGTGAAAAGAATTTGGGAAAATGATGACATGGAGCAAAACTCTGTAGCACAGGTTGGTCATGCCTTTGGGCAAGTCATTCTCTCCCCTAGAGGTGGAAGACTATTACAGAGATGGCAAGCTCTAGGAGGGACTGCAATTAGCCAGTTTTTTTTTTTTAATAATATAATAGCTTGTTTTTGCATCATTTTGTGCATTTTTCCATCTCAGTTGCAATCCCCTTGGGCTTCCCATCACCAAATCACCTGTGTGCCATCACCATAGTCCAGTGCACTTCCCTTCCCCCCACTGTTTCTGATCCCATTCCCCACTCCACCCCCTCAAAATGTCTCTGGTATATAGCTGTTCATCATTATCATTATTTTCTCGCCTGGTCCTTTATGCTCCTGCTGTAAGAGAAACCGTCCAGTATTTTTCCTTTTCTTTCTGGCTTATTTCACTAAGCATGATCTTTTCCAGCTCCATCCATGTTGCTGCAAAAGGCATGTGCTTATTTTTTTTGGGTGCT